AATAATCAAGAGTCAAAGACTCATATTATATAGTTTTTACGAAGTAAAACATGCATGAAACCATTATTATGTTAAATTCTATAAGTCTAAGACACAAAACATATATATATATATATATATATATATATATAATTATTATATTTTAATTACTATAGCAATTATTTTCAATTTTTACTTTTCAACATTAACAAAAAAAAATCAATTAAATACTACATTCTGAAATGTTTGATAATATCAATGTTACTATCATATGAAATTTATAATTTTCTAAGATATATTATTATCACATTTTTACTTTTCATCTTAACTAAAAGTATATCAAAATAATTAAAATTTCTAAGATACATATCATATGAAATTCATAATATTTAATTATTAAAGTAATGATTCCATTATTAAAAATTTTTCTATAGTTTTTTTCTAAAATAACAAATCATTTTTATATAAATTTAAATAAGTGGATTTGATAAGTTCAATTTAATATTATATTCTTGAATATTTTATAAACAAAGTTTTTTATTTTTGCATATAATAAATATGTTATTTTTTAATCTAAATTAAAATATCAATGAATAATTTATAAACAAATATTAAAATTTGAAGATACATATAATGTACAAATTTATGAAATTTAAGTACTAAAATGATTATATATTATTAATATTTTTATTTGTATAAATTTATTGAGAGTAAAAAATAATTTTTGATATAAATGTAAATTCGATAGATTGTTTACTCCATTAATATTTATAAAATAGTAATTTGTAATATTATTTTTTATTTTATGTTAGAATTATTGAACATAAACATATAGTATTTGTCTAGGTTCATGTTAATGATAAAGTTAATAAAGTGTATTTTATTTCACTTAATATCACAAGTTGAATGGTAGTACACAATTGTTTAGAATAGTAGCACACAGTTGTCTAGGTTCATGTTATAGTGGCTTAGAATGGTAGCACATAGTTGTCACAAGTGTTCACTTTGCTACGCCATCAAGTGCCATCATCATGCCCATAGCATGCCATCCGAGTGTTCAAGTGTATATCTTGGGTGGGGTATTGCATGTATTTTGTACGGGGGAATGCCAATGGCAATATTGTAATTCTGTAATATGATTTTTCACTATTTTGATGTTTCTTTATGTCAGTCCCCCAAAAGCTTAACATACTCTTTGAGGGGAGGTAGGTAGTTGAGTGAATCAATAGTGTGTAAAGGTTAAGCACGAGATCCCCTCGACACTGAATTGTGTACTTATGCTTGTCATCAATTAATTCAATACAAATAACTTTTTGATTAATCTGTGTGCCTTCTTGTTGCCTTTTGTGTGTTGTTAGTTGCATTCGTAGGTTTACTCAACCCCATCGAGCACCGCATGGGGCCTCATCGACTAGCCCCATGACAAAGTGGCATAGGTGCCGAGATTTGAATTCGAATCTTCGTAAGAGTGCTTTTTAAACAAAACAAGAGATGCACATGTATCAACATGTATCGGAACGTATATCGACCAATACGGTATGATACATTCTAATATTGATCTGTATCTTGTCGATACACACGACTTGGTGTGTATTGTACCACTAATACTAATATGATACGCCCCAGGCCTATCGTGTCGATATTTTAATCCTTGCTTCTTAGGTTCAAAAGTGAGTATTAACCTCCACTGGTCCAATAAGGGTATATTATGCTATTAAGCTACTCTATTAGAAACAATGGCTGCTAGGAGGTCATATTCTATTTTCAAAAGAGGGGGGAGGTTTTGGTAGTTATAATAAACCTAAAGCTAAAGGGACATTTAAATCTCCGTTGAATCTATCATTAAAGATGAGCTTTAGGTGCCTAAACAAAGCTCTGATCTAGGGTTATTATGATGCTTATGGGAACCATATCCGAACTCAAATGAGCACTCGGATTAGTTGAATGCTTTAGATGTTCACCAGTTGTGAAACCAATAATAACTAGTAATAAATTACATGGGGCCCACACCAAGAGGTTGAATGATTGTTGGCCCATGTATTTTAAGACTAGTGCGGGGTCTTATCATTGGTTCCACAGCCTGCTAAACAGCTAAAGTGTTAGCTAATCCTATCTACTAGGTGTCTTCTAAATTGGTCATTGAAGTTGGAAGATGTTCCCCATATATGTCTTTGGTGTCCTCTAGTAAGTGCAGGTACAAGATTTGAATGACACCAAGTGGGGACTAGATTTGTTAATGGGCCAAGCTTCGGGCTTGACTTACACTGTCAGGCTCGGACTTTGGGCCGAGCCCCATTCAAAATTTGGCAAAAGCCAAGCCCGAGCCCGACCCATGAATAGGTCTAGTGGGGACATAATAGGTGAGCAAATGGTTAAGTATGAATTTGTTGCTAGCATAAGTATAAAGTGTGTTGATATGCATTTAGTGAGTTTAAATGGGCTCCCCACAAGTCTCCCACATGCACATGAGTTTTAAATGGGTGAGCATTATTTGGTTAAAACCGAAAAACTAAACTAAAAATTCCAGTTTTGATTTTTTTCAGTTTTTGGTTAATTCTATTCGGTTAATTCAATGTTAAAAATTCCAGTTTTGGTTTTTAGAATTAAAATTTTGGTTAACCAAAAAAATCAAATTAGCTAAGTTCCATTATATAACATATAATATAGTATATATTATATAATATTATATTTATATATTAATATGTTATATTTAATATATGATAATGAAATTCAGTTTCATTATATATATAATAACCAAAAATCAACCCAAATTTTCGATTATTTCACTTTTCTTGGAATTCAGTTTCGATTTTGTTTTCATTTTTTTATTCTGATTTATTCAATTCATTTTGTAACTAAGGCGATGTTTGGCAGCAATGTTGTTTTCTGAAAAAACAGCACAACATAGGTGCCACATTGGAAAAAGCAGTGCTTAGAAAAACAACCTCTTATTTGGAAATCAAAAAATCGGGAAAGTGTGGTCTGAAGAAGCACCAAATTTAATGTATTCTGAGAAAATAACTCGTTACTGCCTGACAGTGTGGTACCATTGGTACCAAACAAAACTAGTGCTATTTTCCCAGAAAATAGCCTATGTGGCAACACAGCTTCCAAGCACCATTTTCTGAAAAACAATGCTTACAACTCAGAGATGTCCAATCAAATAAACCAAATGCTCACCCCTACGCATGAAAAATCTCCCTTGGCAATTGGGTTGGGTGGGTCGGGTTCGGGTTGGGTCAAGATACTTCGGGTTGATTTTGGGTTGGGTTGAATTTTGGGTTGGGTTATCAAATGCTAGACCCTAACCCTAAATGTTTGGGTTAGGGTTGACCCATGGGTCAATTCGGGTCACCCCAAAAAATAATTGAAATTTAAAAAAATAAATAAAAACTACATGAAAAATGTCAAAATTAAAGGAATTAACCTTAAAATTCCAAATATAAAATAAAAAAACTTGAACATTTAACAATTTAAAGAGTAAACAATAAAGAGTAAAGACTAAATAAAAGCAATTAAAGAGTGGAAACTTCTAATAATACATAAATAGTCCCAATTAGACTTGACAATCGGGTCAATAGGTTGACCCATGACCCAACCCAACCCAACCCAGCTTTTTCCATTTGGGCCAGGTCGTGTCATTCTCACATTCAGGTGGTAACTAAATATGAAATCCTAACCCTATTTTTTTGGGTTGGGTTGGGCCAAATTCACGGGTTGGGTCAACTTTTTGCCAAGTATAGTTGTAATGGAGATGTTCCGAATGCACGTGAATGTGCATGAGGCGCACTCTGAGGGAACCCATGCGATTTCGCCTTTAACATGCCAATTCTATTCTGCTACACATCGAAGAAGATGCTCCCATTGTGGGACTGGATTGCCACACTAAAAGCCTGTTAAATAATCTCTTGCCAACAACAGATCCAGGATCCAAACGATCTCAGCTGCTGAGAGTCTGATCTATTAACCACAAGAAAATGCTGGCCACAAGATCCTACTGTCACACATTTTAACAACCTCTCTCATTCTTTTATCTTGTATTTTCGTGGAATGTGCGGCTGCAGTATCGCGGTGGCCGGATTCGACTCGATCGCCGAATCAATAAGCTAATAAGGCAATAAGGTGTCGCTGTCTCTCTCTCTCTCCATCTTATCGAAATTTCGAAAAAGAAATCTCTCCGGCACAAGGAAAAAAAAAGGGAACGTAGGACCAGAAAAGGAAAGATTCCATGCTTTCGGCCGCGAACGATGAAATGCACAACCTATCTTTGTTATAATCTGATCCCACTGTCAGCGTTCCCATCACGCCATCAGCATACCATGGGCTCTACATGCGACCTACGTGGATCCTTTTCACGCCTCATCAACCGTGTCCAGGTGGGTCCAATTTCTGCCACGTGAAGATGGACGGTGAAAAGCGAGACCGGATCTGCTCCTCACATCGTGCGCCTCACACGCACAACCTACGATGCATTGGGAACGTCTCCCGTATTTATTAATGAATATTTACAGAAGATGTTTCCATGGTGATGTGCCCGTGAGACGCCCATTGGTAAGGAGCATATCCGTCACGTGAAAAGCTGCTGCCGACGATAATGCTAGGTAGGGTCCATCCGTATCAAACATGATTACTCTGTTCTACTAGTCACTGTTTCAGATCCATTGCGTACAGGCGCCGCGGAACGATGGTCGATGGATTCCTTTGCCCTTTTGTTAACACTTGTAATTACCACATCACCCTCATTCGAAATATTTAATTACATTGCCAAAGAAGAGAGTATTTAATTATTTTATATTTTTACAAAAATTATACCATAATAATGGTTCTAACAATTCCATTCCAATCTTTGCTTCATCTGAAGTTACAGGTAAACCACTTTAACCCAAAATCAACTCAACTCAACTCAACTAATAAAGTGGAATGGGCTTACATTGTTGTCACTGACTCATCATTGATTAATTGATTAGATAAAAGTGAACATATTTATTATATTTATGGGACGTTGCATGCTGCAATACATATTCTCTCTCTATCTATATTCTATATTAGACCTGTGTAGAGGGGAGGGGTTTCTCCTCTTACTCTCTGTTCTCTGTTTGAAGGGAGAATAGAAACAGAGAGAGAGATGGACGGCATGGAAGAGCAAGTTGAATTGGTGGGGAAGGCATTTGTGGAGCACTACTACCACCTGTTTGACACAAATCGCCAATCTCTGTCCTCTCTCTACCAACCCTCCTCGATGCTCACTTTTGAGGGTCAGAATATACAAGGGGTCCAAGACATTGCCGGAAAACTAACACAGTTGCCTTTCGATCAATGTCAGCATGTCATTTCCACCATTGATTCCCAGCCCTCCTCCTTTCCCGGCGGCATCATCGTCTTTGTTAGTGGCAACCTCCAATTGCCCGGTGAAGAGCATCAACTAAGATTTAGCCAGGTTCCTCTCTCTCTCTCTCTCTGTCTCCAACTAGAAATATTCTATGTTCTGAGAAACTGATAGGTTCTTGGTGGCTGTTGGCATGCCTGATGCAGATGTTTCACTTGATTCCCACGATACAAGGAAGCTTTTATGTGCAGAATGACATATTTCGCCTGAATTATGGTTGATTTATCATTAATTCGATCACCTTGTTGTAATGTGTTTCCTCTGTTTCTAATTTGCTCCTGAGTTCGTGTGTGGTTGTGGAAATAAAATGGGATGGAAATCATCATTGTGATCGATATATCTTTGAAATTTAATTAGATTGTGGTACTTCAACGTCTCAACCTTCCCAGGGCCAGGGGCTTTTTGCACAAAGTTTCAGTAATCTGGTCTGGTCCCTCCCTTTCTCCTCTCTGAGTGACAATATTGTAACATATAGGCTCCATTCTTTCTGAACTTCTATGTTCTTATCTTAAATCAGAACAAATATATATATATATATATATATATATATATATATATTCAGGTATGGGGATTGGGATATGATACCATATATTTATTTATTTATTTTTAGGTGACACAGATGTGATACGTGGAGGGAATTCACATCCTCCTTCCTTTGGTACAGAAAATTTTTTTTTTTGTACGATACCAATAGCAATATGTGACATCAGCCTATTTTCCCCATTTCAAAATTAGAATGATTTTTTAAATGATGATGTAGATTGCTATTGGTCGGGTGCAGAAAATTTTCTGTACCAAGGAGACAGAATCCAGTTGCCTCTGAATTCACATCTGCACCCACTAACGCCTCACGGCACATCCTAACCCTGTGTTGGGAATATCTTCCATTGACAAGTACGAGGGATGTTCCCAATACACGTATGGGACATTTGTGGGGCATACTCTGACCCTGTAACTCGTTGCCTCTGTCAAATTCGGGCGGGTAAAAGAATTAATTAAGGGAGGAGTACACTGCATCAGCCTAAGGCATAACTCTAAAATTACAGCCTCCCATAGTGTATTAGTAGTCCCCCTATAAATCACATCCTATCCATGAATTTGGCATCAATCCGTGATCAGGATTCATTATCCCTGTACGGTTAAGCTAAAGATTTATATGCTGGGTTGATCAGTCATTCTCCCATTAATTAACCTGCTCAACCTGGGATCTACTGCCTACTAAGTGTTCTCACATCCCTAAGCATGGACATTACAGCTACTTATTGGGAATATCTCTTTTGCCATTCATGACGAGATATTCTCAATACATTGCAGTGGTGTTCTGTGGATAAAGAAGTGGGCACAATTCGTGAGTAACAGATCCGAAGTGATCACAGGTTCGGATTTGCTACTCACAAATTGTTCACACATCTCATCTCTACCTATGAATGGGCCCAGGGTTGTTCTAACAATAGCCCAACAATACTAAAGTGAATCATTGAATAAAGGCTACAAGGCTTGGCATGAATTTATTCTTGGGGAGGAAGGGAACATCCTCCTTTAAGTTCAAGCTAAGAGTCTATTAAGAAAAAGAAGAATATGTTTGAATGAGTTGGGTGCTAGATAGATCTCAAGTCAAGATGCTTAGAGGATGTGTTTTACTGGTACCACTACTTTGCCTAAAGAAAGATAGATCTCAAGTCAAGATGTATATTATTATAGTAGTCTTGTCATAGATCTCAATTTATGACAAGACTACTATAACATGTATATTATTTTTTTTTTATAAGACCAGAAGGAAAATATTGTTTATGGGGAGCCCTATAGTTAAGGCAAGTTCTCCTTTTTTTTTTATCTAACGGAGGTGGTATTAATTTCTCTCCTTCTATTACAAAAAATATGAAACCCATTAATTACTAGTGTTTCCCCGAAACTAACCAACCTGACTTCTGCTTGCTAGTCAATAGTCAATAGTCATGTTAGTCAATAGTCATGTTATGGGTTTATGGTTTTCCAAGGCTGCGTTTGGAATCGATGCAAAACGTCATAGGTGTAAAAGTATATTGGTGAAGTTTTACATGGAACCGTGAAAATGACTATTTCCTTTTGATAAACGCAATGGGTAAAGAGTGTAAAGTTTTACATCGATAAAATCGATGTAGTATTTACATCGACAATCGATGTAAAACTTTACGTTTGATAGGTTTTACATCAATTATCAACATAAAACTCCATTCTATCCAAACGTATGCAAAACTGAATCGGAGTGGAGTTTTATGTCGAAACGGTGTAAACTTTTACATCGATCTTGATTCACACTTATTCCAAACGCAACCTAAGGAAAAAAGAAGCTAGTCTGGATCAAGCAAGCACAGCATTATAAGCACATTCAATGAGCGCTTCTCTTAAAATGTCTCACCCTATCCTTGAAAAAGATTAAAGACAACTTTTAACAGTTGTAAGATTTTTTCTTAATTGCTTATTGCTCCCTAAGGCTCCATTTGGTTTGTGGAAAGATTTGGGTTGGATGGAGAAAGATAGGACGGAAAAGTGTAAAAGGGGATTGAAATGGCACTATTCACCTCTCTTCTTCCTCTCTTCTTCTTCTTCTTCTTCTTCTTCTCGTTTCAACCTTTCTGTTTATTCTTGATTGTGCACCGCCCTAGTACTTGACACGATGCGCATCGCCCCAGTACTTGAAGCCCGGTTGGCAGCCCTGTTCGCACTTATAAACAACGCTCCCATGTCCGCCGCCTTGACATGGCCATCGAATTGCAGAAACTTTGCTGTGTGTGAGGAAGTCAGAAAGAGAAAGAGAATAGTAGAACTGTTGATTGCAACTCCGTTGAGGTCCGCCGCGTCTGAGGCAGTCAAAAAGAGAAAGAGAATACAATTTCTCTGATTAGCAGAAACTTTTCTGTTAATGTGCATGAGACCTTCTGCATAGTCGTTTACAGGAGGGAGGGAGGAGGGAGATGAAAACTCTTTCTTATCGGGGTCGCACTATTTTGATGTGATCCCAAATCCATAGTTTTAAAATTTCACATCCCACCTTTTTCTCATCCCATCTCCCGCTTTCTCTCAAAACAAATTTAAAAAAAATATTTTTAAAATATTTCTTTTTTCTCATCCCATCCCACAAACCAAACAGAACCTAAAAAATTTCTGGAGGATTCAACAACCAACCAATCCGATGCACATCATATCATATCATCGTCCTGGATATGCCGAGAGAATATGAGTGTATAGTTGTACCTGATTGAAGAAGATAAAAGCGTGCATCCGGAATTAGCTATGGATCCACGTGTGTTACTTCTTTCTACAGAGTTATGAAAGTAGATGGAGCCCAAAAAAAAAAATCTTAGGTTCATGAATGTGACGACACCCTTCTGCTTGGTCAAATGGGGCAGACATTGGCATTTGGCAGTAGCATCACCAATTTCCATGTTGGGCCCGCTCTTGAAATATAAGAAATGAAAAAGAAAGTATTAATTCTTTATTTTATTTTTTTTATTTGCGGTGATATGCACTAACTACTGTCATTGTTATGGATAACTTTGAACAGAGTACTCTGCTATTAAGGACAGGTTTATCCTTGTGAAATTATACTATAACTATTGTCTAAGAACAATAATAGAGAAACAAAAGTCAAAAGCTAAGAAAAATCAAAATAATTCTATTAAATTTCTGTCTTTTTTGAGATTTACCTTTCTTCCTTCAAAGTTTAACTGATAGAAAATTTGCTGCCCAAAATCACCGAAATAGACGAGTATAAATATAAATATATAATTTAGAATACATATCCATCGAGGTAAGCCTACTTTGCCTTAATATTTTGAAAGACAAATATAACCCTAGGTGTCGGTTTCCAATTATTTATAACTTTTAAGCATGTGCCCAATTGTAAAAGAATAAAAAAAAAAAGTAAAAAGAAAGATAAAAGACTTAAACCCCCATTGAATTTTCTCATAAATATTGAAACCTCCTTTCATTTTTTAAATTGGACTAAAACATCCCCTATGGGATGATGTCATCAGACAAAGACTCCCCCTCTTTTCAGGTTCAGATCCATTAGCATGTGATATCTCACATATTGTTAATTATTTTTTACATATCCAAATTTGCCCCTTTATTTTCCTTTATTATGACTCAGAAACTAACTGAAAAATTTTAATATGATTTGTCTAATTTTTAGAAGAAATTTTAATATGGTTTAATGTTTTGTTTTGTCACTAGATTGAAGTGAATTCACAACTGTTCGATACTTGGTTTTTGTTGTTCTTCTCTCCGTCTTTTGCTCTTAGTTTTTTTCGTAGAATCAGATTAAGTTTTTTTTTTAATATTTTTTTTTTTGTTTTTTGCGATGTTCCGATGCCAACTTAACAAAAAGGTTCTATTTTTTTTTTCTCCTTTATGCTCACTTTCAAGCCAGATCATGTGTTGGGTGGAGGATTTGAAAGTATCCGATAAACACTTCCAAATGATGGGGATAATAATTTTGAACGCCACACAGAATGTAATAATTCTTTGTACTCATTTTTATTTTTGGGTTGCTCTATTTTTTTTTATTTCTCATTAGGCAATGTTTGTTTTTTGGTAAGTTATTTATCCGGATAAATGCAGTTATCTGGGTAAGTTTTTCCTGGGAAACACTTCGGAGAAGTGCATTTACCCATGTTTTTTTATTTCTTGTATAAATAAGGCAATGACCATTTTAGTAAAAAAAAATCCATTATTAAAAGGGGCATTTTTGTCCCATACAAGTGTTGACAACTTTCCCCTTAGGTGGAAAAGTTATTTACCCACTTAGGAGATGGGTATCACTTACCCAGGTAAGTGGTACCCAGGAAAATAAATTTTCCCTAATCCCTACATAAATCTGAAAAAAGAACATAGGATTCTTGGTCAATGGGATTGTAATTCCCATTGACCAACTTTCCCCCCTCTCAACTTTCTGAAAAAGGAACGCACCCTTAGTGATAAAACGTGGTGTGTCTATAGGTAGAGGGTTATATTTTGGAATTACGATTCAGCCATCCGAATTTTAAGGCCCAAAGTACATTTGGGGTAGGTGCCAGCTCGGAATTCATGCCAATTCATGGACGAGCATTGGTGTATAGAGGTGGGGGTATTTGACATTTTGAATGTTTATAGATCTGCAGTGTAATTCAGAAATCTGCAATATGCCTATCATACTTTTCCGTTATATTTTTGGGACAGCTTCTTCATGGAAATGAGTACAGTCAACCACTTCATTTTTTATTTTCACAAATGAGTCAACAATCACTACTGTTTGGATTCCACTATTTTAAAAATTTAAAAATATAGCAAGGGCATATGAGAAGAGGCCTTAGTCCAATTCAAAAAGTGAAAAGAAGTTTTGGTAT